CCCAGAATTCCTCAGCCAGTATGGCTGGTTGAGGAAGTCTGGAAGTTGGAGCTTTGTAGATCTTCTAGTCCAACCTCTTGCTCAAGGCCTACACCATTTCAGACAAATGTCCAATCTTCCCAAAAAATCTCCAGTAATGGGCAAACCACAACTTCTGAAGGCAAGCCGTCCCACTGATGAATTGTTCTCACTATTGAGAAATTTCTCCTTAGTTCCAGGTTGCTTCTCTCCTTGTTTAGTTTCCATCCGTTGCTTCTTGTCCTGCCCTCGGGTGCTTTGGAGAATAGCTTCTTTGTGGCAGGCCCTGAGATATTGGAAGGCTGCTATCATGTCACCCCTAGTTCTTCTTTTCACCAGATTAGACACACCCAATTCCCACAACCGTTCTTCATGTTTCAGCCTCCAGCCCCATAATCATCTTCGTTGCTCTTCTCTGCACTCTTTTTTAAGTCTTTGCCTCTTTTTTATATTGACCAAAACTGGATGCAGTATTCTTAGTGTGGTCTTACTAGGGCCTTCTAAAGCGTACTAACACTTCACGGGATCTTGAGATTTGCCCTAGCAAAGGAACAACCGAATCCACCTTGGCAAGTGAAGGTTCTGATTCCTTCACTTGTCGAGTCATGCTCATTTGGAGCCTTGCACAGTGCATGAATTTAGCCGCTGCAGTTTGTCAATCAAAGTCGAATGCATTATACAAACTGCCTAATTGCCCTCACTAGGCTGTTGACACAGGAACGTTACCTCCGGCTGTTTGCTAAGCGTTTTCTAAAGACAACAACAGCTCGCTCCATCCGATGGTAAGCTGGGCTCTGCCGAAGCATGCTTTGAAAAGTCACAGTAAAAAAAACCAAAAAAAAAAAAACAAGGAATTTATCGGAATGCAAACGGCATCTCAGAAGTCTCACCCTGACGGAGACTATCTCGCCATTTCAATGCGGCTTGTCGAAACCTTGACCAATCCGATGTTCTTGCAACTGAGGCAAGCCTTAGATGGGTTTGTTTCCAAATCAAATTTAATAGGAATTGCAAAGCACAATATGCCAGCGTGGAACAGAATCGCTGAAAGCACACCTGTGGCACCAGGCGGGAGAAGCTGTGCCTTCTATTACACAAATCCGCTGGAATTAAGCTGGATAAAGATGTTTCTAGCTGTTAGCCATGGAAGATCTCCTATCGGTTAAATAAAACTGATGCATTTATTATGTACCAGGAACCAGGTTTTACCAGTTTGGTGGGGAAAAACTTCAATCTGAATTTGCAAAGGACAGTAGAAGTGTGACAATGTACACCTTGAAAAGCCTTCTTGGCAGCAGTCGTAGGAAGAGGGTGGGTAGAATGGATTTCTCCCTGTTCTGTAACACAAAAATGATTTTTGTTTTCTTTTTACCATCCTATAATCCAGTGGTTCTCAATCTGTGGGTCGGGACCCCATTTGGGGTCAAACAGCTATTTCATGGGGGTCGCCAAACAACGCAGTCCGCCATTTTTTCCCCTTTTCCTTAGCTCCCTTTTATTCTATTGGCTTTTGAAAGCCAATAGAAGAGACTCTCTTGAATAGAGTCTAATTCTATTGGCTTTCAAAAGCCAATAGGAATGGTCCAGGCTGTCTCTGCCCTGCTGAGCCCGCCAAAAGTCCCATTCTGCAAACGGTGCTGCACCAGTTGAGTAGTCCTCGACTTACGACCGGTTGAGTAGTCCTTGACTTACGACCGGTTGGGGGTCGCGGCATTAAAAAGGTTGAGAACCACTGCTATAATCTCTTGCTTCGGAGTGGGGTCGAGGCGACTGAGTAGAGGAGCTGAGCATTTACTGGCCGGATGCCTTTCCTGTTGCCTATATGAAGTTCACAGCATTTATTTTCTCATTGCATCTGTTGCTGCCTAGGATTGAACTCTCAACCTTCCGAGTGGGAGGGGAGCATCTTCATCTCTAGGCCACTGCATCGCTCTCTAGGCAACCGTGCCACTTGTGACACGAAAATGAATAACCTCATAATATTTAATAGGCATGAATTCAATATGGAGATAATTCCAGGGGGTTTTTTATTGAGGGTTTCATTATTTGACATTCCTAATAATAGGTGAAAAAGCATGCAGCTGGTGGATATTTTATTGTAGATTTTAAGGACTGGATCACTCGTTTAAAAAGGAACAAATCCAGAACAACTTTTGACAGTTTCAGAGAGTGGCAAGCAAATATTTTGGTGGACAAATATTCACCTCTAGCCTAAGCTAGACCATAGTAGCTTAGGGCCCTACAGTATTTTGCAGCTGATTCTAAAAAACATGGTTTGAAGTGCGACCATAGTCCTGGTGTGCAATTTCGTAAACCAGTTTTCTCTTTCCCTGAGAATAAATAGTCCTGTTAAGTACTAGTAATTGGAATTTTTTTTAAAAAAAAATCAGCATGGCTGCTAGGTTCATGCTCTACACCAGTGGTTCTCAACCTTTTTAATGCTGCAACCCCCAACCGATCATAAGTCGAGGACTACTCAACCGGTCGTAAGCCGAGGACTACTCAACTGGTGCAGCACCGTTTGCAGAATGGGACTTTTGGCGGGCTCAGCAGGGCAGAGACAGCCTGGACAATTCCTCTTGGCTTTGGAAAGCCAATAGAATTAAACTCTATTCAAGAGAGTCTATTCTATTGGCTTTCAAAAGTCAATAGAATAAAAGGGAGTAGCACAGCTAAGGAAAAGGGGGGAAAAAATGGCGGACTGCGTTGTTTGGCAACCCCCGTTGAAATGGTTGTTCGACCCCAAATGGGGTCCCGACCCACAGGTTGAGAACCACTGCTCTACACTCTCGTTCTGTTTACAGCAAGGTTTTCCAACTTTGGCAGTTCTAAGACTTGTGAACTCCCAACTCCCAGAATTCCCCAGTCAGCATGGCTGCCTAATGAATTCTGGGAGATGAAGTCCACAAGTCTTAGTGGCCAGAGTTGGAGGATTGCCCTAGTTTACAGGATGGACCCCCAGATATTCATTTTCTTGCTTTCACGCTCAACATGCAGTATTTTTCAACAGATTCCTCAACTTGTTACCTCTTGTGGATTGGATAACTGTCAAAACTGAAATGGGCATAATTGCTCTGTATTTCCCCAATTTCATGGAAGCCTCGTTGAGATTCTTGTTGCTATGAGACACCTTTTGATGAAGGACTTTGAGATTTCAGGATTTACTCTTCTCCAGTGTTTGTAAGATGGTCCATCAGGGAGAATCGATTGGCTGCTCACTCACCTGGACTTGAGACAAGGGCGCTGGCTCAGGGGTTAAAGATGCTGAGCCAGGGTTTGAGACCCAGAGCATCACACGATGGGGCGAGCTCCGGTTCCTTGTCCCAGCTCCTGCCAACTAAGCATTTTGAAAGCATGCAAATGCAAGTAGATAAATAGGTACCACTTTGGTGGGAAGGGAACAGCATTCTGTGTGCCTCGGCATATGGTCATGCTGGCCACATGACCACGGAAAATGTCTTCGGCCAACACTGGCTCCCTCGACCAAAAATGGAGGAGCATCACGTCTAGAAGAATTGAGGCCTTTGAGCTATGGTGCTAGAGAAGACTCCTGCGAGTCCCCTGGACTGCAAGGAGATTAAATCACTCAGTCCTAGAGGAGATCAACCCCGACTGCTCTTTAGAAAGCTAGATCTCGAAGTTGAAACTCAAGTCCTTTGGCCACCTAATGAGAATAAATGACTCCCTGGAGAAGGGCCTAATGCTGGGAATGATGGAGGGCAAGAGAAGAAGGGGACAACAGAGAAGGAGGTGGCTGGATGGAGTCACTGAAGCAGTAGGCGTGAGCTTCAATGGACTCCAGAAGATGATATAAGACAGGAAGGCCCGGAGGAACGTTGTCCATGGGGTCGCGATGGGTCAGACACGACTTTGCAACTAACAACAACCACGCCTAGAGCCAGATATGGCTGGACAGGGAAACCTTTACCTTTATTGAGGAGAGGAGAGGAGCTCAAACTTGGGAATTTAATCCTTTTCTCATTCACGCCTCCATTTTGTGTGGGTTAAGGATCCCGTTTGTTGGCTGTATTAACATTAAAAGCAATAGTTCTACTTGGTGACCTCAGGGACTCGAGATGAAATTCCTGCGCACTGAAAAAATTCATTCTGAAATCTGTAGCTTTTCTACCAGACTCTGGTCAATGGTTTTAGGATTTCAAATACGAAGGAAGTAGAGTCCGTAAGATTTTTCACTGTTTTCCTATGCATCCTCCCATAGTCTCTGTTCAAATTTAATTTTGTCTTTCCTTGGAACTGTTTTCCTGGCGGTTCCAGATTTGCCCCCTACCATGTGCAACAACTGCTCAACATGATTTGAATTCCCTATTACGATGCCTCAAGATCCTCTTCAGAGCTGCAGAAGACATAACCAGAGAGCAGACATCACATTCTATGGCATTCTCAGCGCTCAGAATCAAAGACTGACATTTCTGAGGCTTGGGAAAGAAACCAGAGACCTCTGACCAAATACAGACAAGGCCTTTCGGCTTTAATCTAAAGCAGTGGTTCTCAACCTGTGGGTCGGGACCCCATTTGGGGTCGAACAACCATTTCACGGGGGTCGCCAAACAACACAGTCCGCCATTTTTCCCCCCTTTTCCTTAGCTGTGCTCCTCCCTTTTATTCTATTGGCTTTTGAAAGCCAATAGAATAGACTCTCTTGAATAGAGTCTAATTCTATTGGCTTTCAAAAGCCAATAGGAATTGTCCAGGCTGTCTCTGCCCTGCTGCGCCCGCCAAAAGTCCCATTCTGCAAACGGTGCTGCACCAGTTGAGTAGTCCTCGACTTACGACCGGTTGAGTAGTCCTCGACTTACGACCAGTTGAGTAGTCCTCGACCGGTTGGGGGTCGCGGCATTAAAAAGGTTGAGAACCACTGATCTAAAGGCACACTTAAAAGTAAGCCCCACTCAATGAACTGGGGTTGATTTCAAGGTAAACATGAGCCTATCTGCAAAGTCTACTGAAGTCAGTTTTTCACCTCCGTTGGTTGTTGATGTTTTAATTGTTTTAAAGAAAGCTTGCAGGAAGAATACAATCAATTCCCTGTGAGGTTTTCTTTGTGCATCACAAGTGTCTCTCGCTGGAAGGCGATTCCCAAAACTGCTCAAAGGCACTTCTGTTATTCCCCCCCCCCCCAAGTTATTTTGTAAAAAGAAAAAAAAGAGAGAGAAAAGAATCCTATTCCTAATCTTTATAATGTTTGTAGCGATGACTATAAAAAGAAGACGTTAGATTATGCATCCATTTCACTTATGCCCTCTCTGATGGCCACAGTTTTTGGAAGTTTCCAGTAGAAAATAGTTTCAGACACACTTTCTTGAGATGCCAGAGATAATGAGATGGTCTCTTGGCCAAATCCCAGACTTAATTTTGCATCTTGGAGAAGGTAAAAACTCTGCAACGAGAAAGGAAAACTGTTCCCAGATGAAGTGGCATAAAATCCAGTGGGTGAATCCTCATGGGGAAAAAAACTGCAGGTAGAAGATGACAAGAACGACCATAGAAGCGCTGAGCTGGATATGTTCTCTACCCTGTTTGTGGGATCTTCGTGTGGATCCAAATTATGATCACGGGGCAGACAGAGATCATTTTTGGCCCTGTAAGGCCAATGGGGAGGAAAATAAATAGTCTTCGATGTGTTGGGTGAAGAAGGGCCTTGTCCATGTCAACCTTGGGGCAAGGATAGAGCTGGCAAGGAGTAAGTAAATGCTCCAACACTGGAAGTTTTTAAGAAGAGACTGGACAGCCATTTGTCCGAAATGGTGTAGGGTTTCCTGCCTGAGCAGGGGGTTGGACTAGATGACCTCCAAGATCCCTTCCAACTTTATTACTATTACTATTACTAAGTTGAGTTCCAGCCTCTTTCTAAGTCCACGGTGGGAGGGCCAGGTCTGTGGAGAAGGCAAGAATCTGTAAGAAGGCATCTGTAGGTTTTGAGTTGTAGGCTTCAAGGAAGAACACCAGGCAATTCCCTCTTGCACCTTCTATTGTCGATGCTGGAGGAAGATCTGAGGAGTTGGCTTGACAACTTCAGCCTTGAGAAGTGGCTATTGCTTTGCCCTCCCTTATTGTCAATCAATTTCTTCAGCCATATCTGGAAAGAAAAGAACAATAACTTTTCAAAACCCAGATATGTTAGTCTGCAAGTGGGTCAAAAGCATTGGGGTGGGGAAGAAGGGAACACCTGAAAGGGTAGCCTATCCGAGTACATTCCTCATTCCATCCAACAGATTCGCAACCTTGGGAACTTCAAGATGAGTGGACCTCAGCTCCCAGAATTCTCCCAGCCAGCATGGCTGGCTCTGGAGTTCCGGAACTTGAAGTCTTACAAATTGTAAAAAGAAAAAAAAATCATTTTTGCGTCCCAGAATAGGAGAAACCCATCTACCCACCCAAGTAGATAGGACGGGGTGGAAAAGTCAGCATCCTCCTAAGCACACCGATGTGCTCTGAATCCATTGGCGATGTCCATTTTGCTTTCCGAGTTCATGGATCCTAACCCTAACCATAACCCTAAGTGGGTTTGTCCCCAATGGGATTTTCCCATGTATTTTACCAGGAAATATAGACAGGGCAGGCTCCAAATCTCAACACCCTCCTAAGTACACAGATGCACTCCGAATCTATTGGCGATGTCCATTTTGCTCTCCGGGTTCATGGGGACCTAACCCTAAGTGAAAATCCCAATGGGGAAAAACCCACTTAGGCTTAGGGTTAGGTCCCCCGTGAATTTGGAGAGCAAAATCCCAATGGGATTTTCCCATGTATTTTACCAGGAAATATAGACAGGGCAGGCTCCAAATCTCAACACCCTCCTAAGTACACAGATGCGCTCCGAATCTATTGGCGATGTCCATTTTGCTCTCCGGGTTCATGGGGACCTAACCCTAAGTGAAAATCCCAATGGGGAAAAACCCACTTAGGCTTAGGGTTAGGTCCCCCGTGAATTTGGAGAGCAAAATCCCAATGGGGTTTTCCCATGTATTTTACCAGGAAACATAGATAGGGTGGGCTCCAAAACTCAACCAGCTGCTAAGCATACCGATGCGCTACATTGGCGATGTCCATTTTGCTCTCCGAGTTCGTGGGGACATAACCCTAACCCTAAGTGGGTTTTTTTCCCCAATGGGATTTTCCCATGTATTTTACCAGGAAATGTAGATAGGGCAGGCTCCAAAACTCAACACCCTCCTAAGTACACAGATGCACTCCGAATCCATTGGCGATGTCCATTTTACTCTCCGAGTTCATGGAGACCTAACCCTAACCCTAAGTGAAAATCCCATTGGGGAAAAACCCACTTAGGCTTAGGGTTAGGTCCCCCGTGAATTTGGAGAGCAAAATCCCAATGGGATTTTCCCATGTATTTTACCAGGAAACATAGATAGGGTGGGCTCCAAAACTCAAGCAGCTGCTAAGCATACCGATGCGCTACGAATCCATTGGGGATGTCCATTTTGCTCTCCGGGTTCGTGGGGACATAACCCTAACCCTAAGTGGGTTTTTTTCCCCAATGGGATTTTCCCATGTATTTTACCAGGAAACATAGATAGGGTGGGCTCCAAAACTCAACCAGCTGCTAAGCATACCGATGCGCTACGAATCCATTGGGGATGTCCATTTTGCTCTCCGAGTTCGTGGGGACATAACCCTAACCCTAAGTGGGTTTTTTTCCCCAATGGGATTTTCCCATGTATTTTACCAGGAAACATAGATAGGGTGGGCTCCAAAACTCAACCAGCTGCTAAGCATACCGATGCGCTACGAATCCATTGGCGATGTCCATTTTGCTCTCCGAGTTCGTGGGGACATAACCCTAACCCTAAGTGGGTTTTTTTCCCCAATGGGATTTTCCCATGCATTTTACCAGGAAATGTAGATAGGGCAGGCTCCAAAACTCAACACCCTCCTAAGTACACAGATGCACTCCGAATCCATTGGCAATGTCTATTTTGCTCTCCGGGTTCATGGGGACCTAACCCTAAGTGAAAATCCCAATGGGGAAAAACCCACTTAGGCTTAGGGTTAGGTCCCCCGTGAATTTGGAGAGCAAAATCCCAATGGGGTTTTCCCATGTATTTTACCAGGAAACATAGATAGGGTGGGCTCCAAAACTCAACCAGCTGCTAAGCATACCGATGCGCTACATTGGCGATGTCCATTTTGCTCTCCGAGTTCGTGGGGACATAACCCTAACCCTAAGTGGGTTTTTTTCCCCAATGGGATTTTCCCATGTATTTTACCAGGAAATGTAGATAGGGCAGGCTCCAAAACTCAACACCCTCCTAAGTACACAGATGCACTCCGAATCCATTGGCGATGTCCATTTTACTCTCCCAGTTCATGGAGACCTAACCCTAACCCTAAGTGAAAATCCCATTGGGGAAAAACCCACTTAGGCTTAGGGTTAGGTCCCCCGTGAATTTGGAGAGCAAAATCCCAATGGGATTTTCCCATGTATTTTACCAGGAAACATAGAAAGGGTGGGCTCCAAAACTCAACCAGCTGCTAAGCATACCGATGCGCTACGAATCCATTGGGGATGTCCATTTTGCTCTCCGGGTTCGTGGGGACATAACCCTAACCCTAAGTGGGTTTTTTTCCCCAATGGGATTTTCCCATGTATTTTACCAGGAAACATAGATAGGGTGGGCTCCAAAACTCAACCAGCTGCTAAGCATACCGATGCGCTACGAATCCATTGGGGATGTCCATTTTGCTCTCCGAGTTCGTGGGGACATAACCCTAACCCTAAGTGGGTTTTTTTCCCCAATGGGATTTTCCCATGTATTTTACCAGGAAACATAGATAGGGTGGGCTCCAAAACTCAACCAGCTGCTAAGCATATCGATGCGCTACGAATCCATTGGCGATGTCCATTTTGCTCTCCGAGTTCGTGGGGACATAACCCTAACCCTAAGTGGGTTTTTTTCCCCAATGGGATTTTCCCATGCATTTTACCAGGAAATGTAGATACGGCAGGCTCCAAAACTCAACACCCTCCTAAGTACACAGATGCACTCCGAATCCATTGGCAATGTCCATTTTGCTCTCCGGGTTCATGGGGACCTAACCCTAAGTGAAAATCCCAATGGGGAAAAACCCACTTAGGCTTAGGGTTAGGTCCCCCGTGAATTTGGAGAGCAAAATCCCAATGGGGTTTTCCCATGTATTTTACCAGGAAACATAGATAGGGTGGGCTCCAAAACTCAACCAGCTGCTAAGCACACCGATGCGCTACGAATCCATTGGGGATGTCCATTTTGCTCTCCGAGTTCGTGGGGACATAACCCTAACCCTAAGTGGGTTTTTTTCCCCAATGGGATTTTCCCATGTATTTTACCAGGAAACATAGATAGGGTGGGCTCCAAAACTCAACCAGCTGCTAAGCATACCGTTGCGCTAAGAATCCATTGGGGATGTCCATTTTGCTCTCCGAGTTCGTGGGGACATAACCCTAACCCTAAGTGGGTTTTTTTCCCCAATGGGATTTTTCCATGTATTTTACCAGGAAACATAGATAGGGTGGGCTCCAAAACTCAACCAGCTGCTAAGCATACCGTTGCGCTATGAATCCATTGGGGATGTCCATTTTGCTCTCCGAGTTCGTGGGGACATAACCCTAACCCTAAGTGGGTTTTTTTCCCCAATGGGATTTTTCCATGTATTTTACCAGGAAACATAGATAGGGTGGGCTCCAAAACTCAACCAGCTGCTAAGCATATCGATGCGCTACGAATCCATTGGCGATGTCCATTTTGCTCTCCGAGTTCGTGGGGACATAACCCTAACCCTAAGTGGGTTTTTTTCCCCAATGGGATTTTCCCATGCATTTTACCAGGAAATGTAGATAGGGCAGGCTCCAAAACTCAACCCCCTCCTAAGTACACAGATGCACTCCGAATCCATTGGCAATGTCCATTTTGCTCTCCGGGTTCATGGGGACCTAACCCTAAGTGAAAATCCCAATGGGGAAAAACCCACTTAGGCTTAGGGTTAGGTCCCCCGTGAATTTGGAGAGCAAAATCCCAATGGGGTTTTCCCATGTATTTTACCAGGAAACATAGATAGGGTGGGCTCCAAAACTCAACCAGCTGCTAAGCACACCGATGCGCTACGAATCCATTGGGGATGTCCATTTTGCTCTCCGAGTTCGTGGGGACATAACCCTAACCCTAAGTGGGTTTTTTTCCCCAATGGGATTTTCCCATGTATTTTACCAGGAAACATAGATAGGGTGGGCTCCAAAACTCAACCAGCTGCTAAGCATACCGTTGCGCTATGAATCCATTGGGGATGTCCATTTTGCTCTCCGAGTTCGTGGGGACATAACCCTAACCCTAAGTGGGTTTTTTTCCCCAATGGGATTTTTCCATGTATTTTACCAGGAAACATAGATAGGGTGGGCTCCAAAACTCAACCAGCTGCTAAGCATATCGATGCGCTACGAATCCATTGGCGATGTCCATTTTGCTCTCCAAGTTCGTGGGGACATAACCCTAACCCTAAGTGGGTTTTTTTTCCCAATGGGATTTTCCCATGCATTTTACCAGGAAATGTAGATACGGCAGGCTCCAAAACTCAACACCCTCCTAAGTACACAGATGCACTCCGAATCCATTGGCAATGTCCATTTTGCTCTCCGGGTTCATGGGGACCTAACCCTAAGTGAAAATCCCAATGGGGAAAAACCCACTTAGACTTAGGGTTAGGTCCCCCGTGAATTTGGAGAGCAAAATCCCAATGGGGTTTTCCCATGTATTTTACCAGGAAACATAGATAGGGTGGGCTCCAAAACTCAACCAGCTGCTAAGCATACCGATGCGCTACGAATCCATTGGGGATGTCCATTTTGCTCTCCGAGTTCGTGGGGACATAACCCTAACCCTAAGTGGGTTTTTTTCCCCAATGGGATTTTCCCATGTATTTTACCAGGAAACATAGATAGGGTGGGCTCCAAAACTCAACCAGCTGCTAAGCATATCGATGCGCTACGAATCCATTGGCGATGTCCATTTTGCTCTCCGAGTTCGTGGGGACATAACCCTAACCCTAAGTGGGTTTTTTTCCCCAATGGGATTTTCCCATGCATTTTACCAGGAAATGTAGATACGGCAGGCTCCAAAACTCAACACCCTCCTAAGTACACAGATGCACTCCGAATCCATTGGCGATGTCCATTTTACTCTCCGAGTTCATGGAGACCTAACCCTAACCCTAAGTGAAAATCCCATTGGGGAAAAACCCACTTAGGCTTAGGGTTAGGTCCCCCATGAATTTGGAGAGCAAAATCCCAATGGGATTTTCCCATGTATTTTACTAGGAAACATACATAGGGTGGGCTCAAAAACTCAACATGCTGCTAAGCATACTGATGCGCTACGAATCCATTGGCGATGTCCATTTTGCTCTCCGAGTTCGTGGGGACATAACCCTAAGTGGGTTTTTTTTTTCCCAATGGGATTTTCCCATGCATTTTACCAGGAAATGAAGATACGATGGGCTGAAAAAGTCAGCACCCTCCTAAGCTTACTGATGCGCTACGAATCCATTGGCGATATCCATTTTGTTGTTCATATTCATGGGGGCCTAACCCTAAGTGGTTAGGGTTAGGTAAGGTGACCAACTTTTTTACAATGAAAAGGAGGACACAAATAAATTGAAGAAAAAAATATTGTAGATAAAAGAAACATTTTATTCATTGCAAAAATAACACAGACAACTTGCATGTGCAAAGTTTGCCGGCTGGGTGTTTTGGCGCGCTCAGCAGCAATTCCTATTGGCTTTCAAAAGCCAATAGGGGGAGTAGCCCAGCTCATGCAAAAGTTGAAAACAAAAACCATCAAAAAAAGGTGCCGGAACGCCGTTCTGAGCGTTCTATGAGGAAAAAAAAAAAAAGCCCTGCAGATTAGTCTTCAAATATCGAAAAGGAGGACATGAAGGAGGACACTTTTTGAGGGAGGACAGAGCTTACAAAAGGAGGACTGTCCTCCCTAAAGGAGGAAGGTTGGTCACCTTAGGGTTAGGTCCCCATGAAATAGTTTTCAATGATTTCGGATCAAAGGCTGTTTCTTGCTTGCTTGGCTTTGGCTTTGAGATAAGAGCGAAGGGTGGAGCCTAATCCGAGCGAGGGAAAAGCACCCGGTTCTTACTTTTGTGTCCTAATCAAGGCAGGGGGAAACACCTAGGAGAAATGCCACGCCATTTGTTGCAAGAGAAGGGTCACAGATTTAATCCGGATTGCTCTGTACGCAGAGGAAATGCACCACTGAGTTATGGCCCCATTCTCACGCTTTGAAAGGACCTGAAGCTGTGGCCTTGGATCGATGTTTGCTACAAAGGGCAACTGCCTTACCTTCTTTGGCATCCATGTTTTTCAGAGGTTGCAAGGCTGTCCATGCAATTGAAAAAAAAGAAGAAAGTGTCAGTTGATTGAGCCCCAAAAGAGGGTGCCGAACGAACAGAGTGAAAACAGAAACGTGAATCTTAGTTGAGTCTGAACGTCTCTCTAGCAGCGTTTCAAAGCGAAGAGTTGGCTGTACTCTCCGTTATTAGACCAACTTTCAACTTTTACATTATGTACAAAAGCAAGTACTGCACTGCCCCCTGCTGCACATTGTCAAACCTGCAATATTCTTCCTTGGAGATATCAGCAGAATGCCAAGGAATTCTCACTCCTTTATCAAAATGCCAAGGAATTCTCACTCCTTTATCGAAATCCCAGCTCAGAGAGGGCTGCAAAGCGCTGTGAAGCCATATATATGTGCTCTTGTGGAGGGAGGGAGGGAGGGAGGGAGGGAGGAAGGAAGGAAGGAAGGAAGGAAGGAAGGAGGGAAAAAGGAGAGGGGGAGAGAAGGGAGGGAGGGAGGGAGGAAGGAAGGAAGGAAGGAAAAAGGAGAGGGAGGGAGGGAGGAAGGAAGGATGGAGGAAGGAAAAAGGAGAGAGGGAGAGAAGGGAGGGAGAGAGGAAGGAAAGAGGGAAAAAGGAGGGAGGGAGGGAGGGAGGAAAGAAGGAAAAAGGAGAGGGGGAGAGAAGGGAGGGAGGTAGGAAGGAAGGAAGGAGGAAGGAAGGAAAAAGGAGAGGGGGAGAGAAGGGAGGGAGGGAGGAAAGAAGGAAAAAGGAGGGAGGGAGGGAGGGAGGGAGGAAGGAAGGAAGGAAGGAAAAAGGGGGGAGAGAAGGAGGAGGGAGGGAGGAAGGAAGGAAGGAAGGAAGGAAAAAGGAGAGGGAGGGAGGGAGGGAGGAAGGAAGGATGGAGGAAGGAAAAAGGAGAGAGGGAGAGAAGGGAGGGAGAGAGGAAGGAAAGAGGGAAAAAGGAGGGAGGGAGGGAGGGAGGAAAGAAGGAAAAAGGAGAGGGGGAGAGAAGGGAGGGAGGTAGGAAGGAAGGAGGAAGGAAGGAAAAAGGAGAGGGGGAGAGAAGGGAGGGAGGGAGGAAAGAAGGAAAAAGGAGGGAGGGAGGAGGGAGGAGGAAGGAGGAAGGAAGGAAGGAAGGAAGGAAGGAAGGAGGGAAAAAGGAGAGGGGGAGAGAAGGGAGGGAGGGAGGGAGGAAGGAAGGAAGGAAGGAAGGAAGGAAAAAGGAGAGGGAGGGAGGGAGGAAGGAAGGAAGGAAGGAGGAAGGAAAAAGGAGAGAGGGAGAGAAGGGAGGGAGAGAGGAAGGAAAGAGGGAAAAAGGAGGGAGGGAGGGAGGGAGGAAAGAAGGAAAAAGGAGAGGGGGAGAGAAGGGAGGGAGGGAGGGAGGAAAGAAGGAAAAAGGAGGGAGGGAGGGAGGGAGGAAGGAAGGAAGGAAGGGGCCCCAATGGCACCATGGTTAGAACGCAGCATTGTAGGCTAACTCTGCCCACTGCCAGCAGTTCGATCCTGACCAGCTCAAGGTTGACTCAGCCTTCCCTCCTTCCGAGGTCGGTAAAATGAGGACCCAGATTGTTGGGAGGGCAATAAGCTGACTCTCTCAACCGCTTAGAGAGGACTGTAAAGCACTGTGAAGCGGCATAGAAGTCTATTGTTATACTCTGATAACAACCGAGAGCAGAAGTGTGCCTGGAGGTATCAATCAAGAAACTGATAGAAAATCAAACTGCTGCCTGACCTGTCTTGGAACCTTCTCCATCATTCAATTCTTCTGTACCTGAAGGAAGAAAAAGAACAGGTTAAAAAAAAAATAAATAAATTCAACCACCCTAGAGCTGCCATCAGTGTCAAATTTGCTGGAATGCTTGCTTGTAAATCCATCTTATCAAAGAAATACCCATGAGCCAGGACTCTGGGTTAGATCAAAGACGGATAATTGGAACTGGCTGATGGCAAACTCAAGAACACCATCATTGGTTTATTCTACCTTCAATATTGTTTAATATTTAGAATAATGAGGAGAGTTTAGTGGCAGCACTTCTCCGCAATCCCTTCAACCAATGTTTTTCAATCTTGGCAACTTGAAAATGTGTGGACTTCGACTCCCAGAATTCCCCAGCCAGCAGGGCTGGCTGGGGAATTCTGGGAGTCGAAGTCCACACATCTTCAAGTTGCTCAAAGTTGAGTAACACGGCTTTAAATGAAAAGCATTTTCCCCCAGGACCGTGAGGCAATTGTAGGAGACAGCCACAAACGCACACACCAAAAAGACACGGCTGCTTTAAAGAGTTGCAGGCAGGTGCTAGCTTCCCAGCTCTACGAAGCATCCTTTTTGCCTTCAAACTCCCAGCAGTGCCTAGTCCGAGAACCATCTGGGGGAGGGGTTTGGGGGGTTGAAAAGTTGTGCAAGGCGTGCCTCAAGACAGAGCAAACCTACACGCGAGTAACTCTTACCGGCTTTCGCTTTCTCCTCTTTGCAACTTTGCCGGATTTTCTTCTGACACACGTACGCCAGGACGATCAGGAGGATGACAAGGCAAATGGACAGCCCCACCGTGACCCAGAGAGCTACTGCTGGAAACAGAAGGTGTTGTCCTGGAAGGAGACAGAGAAGAAAAAGTTATCAGATTGGGATGACCCCAGGAAAACTCCACCACGTGGGTTAGATGTCACACCACCACCTGCTACAAAAAGCTGTTGGCTGCCAACCGTTTACTCAGAACCCAAAATCCTAATGATGCAGCTAAACGCTTCAATTGCTGCTGTTCCTCAAGACTTCCCAGGAAACAGCAGGTTGAATTACCCTATAAAGCACTTCATTAACCTTTAAATAATTATGCTAATAAATTCAAATAAATGCTGATCTATCACCCTCTATCGGAGGAGGAGGAGGAGGAGAAGCTGAACAAGGCGGCATTCAGCCTAATGGATTGCCTAGGTGGTTCACCGTCAATGCGAGTTTTCAGAGGTTGGCAAGGCGAATTCATGTCTGCTGATATTTCCAAAAAAGCCAACACAGTGCTGGGCTGCATTAACAGAGGGATAGAATCAAGATCACGTGAAGTGTGAATACCATTTTACAAAACCTTGGTAAGGCCACACTTGGAATACGGCATCCAGCTTTGGTCACCACAATGTAAAAAAGATGTTGAGACTCTAGAAAGAGTACAGAGAAGAGCAACAAAGAAGATTAGGGGACTGGAGGCTAAAACACATAAGGAACAGTTGCTGGAATTGGGTCTGTCTAGTTTAATGAAGAGAAGGACGAGGGGGGACAGGATAGCAGTGTTCCAATATCTCAGGGGCTGCCCCAAAGAAGAGGGAGTCAAGCTATTCTCCAAGGCACCTGAAGGCAGGACAAGAAGCAATGGATAGAAACTCATCAAGGAAAGAAGCAACCTAGAACTAAGGAGAAACTTCCTGACAGTGAGGACAATTAACCAGTGGAACAATCTGCCTCCAGAAGCGGTGAATGCTCCAACACTGGAAGTTTTTAAGAAGAAACTGGACAGCCATTTGTCTGAAATGGTATAGGGTTTCCTGCCTGAGCAGGGGGTTGGACTCAATGACCTCCAAGGTCCCTTCCAACTTTATTATTATTATTATTATAAGGCTTGGGTTCCTGGATAAACAGCATCCTCTTTGTTTTGGGAGGGAGGGGGGCAAAAATCTTTGCCCTCTCTTCTATGCAGACTTAAACATTGGGGAGGGGGTCAGGTGCAAGCAAAGAGAGCCAGACCTGAATAGCCTAAGTCAGCAACTTTATTGATTTCTACCTATATTACAAGAATTTCCCCAGGCTGTTTGCCTTCTCTTGGGAACAATCAAATCAGGTTCCATGGACCGATCAAGTTTATGTCTTTAGTGGCTGCACAAAGACTCAAGGCTAATTCCCTGCTTGAGTCCTCCTTCCATTCTGGCTGGCAGTTTCCCAACTGGGAGTTTCACAGAATTTTTGCGCACACACACACACACACACACACCAAAAATTACTAACTCTCCTAGCATTTCTAAACAACTTCAAGATCATGCAGAATCTTCCATTCAGGATGTCCATTAAGATGAAGTAAAATTAAGTAAAATTTGCCTTCATTGGTGAATTTAAATAATTTCTCTTGCTGTTCTCCTCAAATCTCCAGGGGAGGGGGGAAACACACTCAAGGCAAGATTCAGAAGTACAGTCTCCACTGAAAACCAAAATTGATAGGGTGTAAATGTGACATAGATACCCAAAATATCTGATTTACAAGGACGAGAGTGATCTAGAAAATCAACTAAGTTAAACTAGCAAGAGATGTCTTTAAAAAAAGGGGGGGGGAATGCATTGAAGCTTGGGCACCCTGTGCTTTAGAAAGCACCAAGAAATCACTGTCACACTTTTGTTGAAATTCCTCATATGAAAAAAAGCTTGATTATTTTTGATGTGCTGCCAAGCCACCGCTGCTTTTTAAGAAGCTGAAATCTGTTCAGTTTCTTCCTTTTTGTTCCAAGTTTTAAGACAAGGCTCCAAAGATGAAAGAGTTTGAGTTTGACCACAATTGGGACATCTGTTTGCAAGGTACATTTTCCTTTAATTAGTGAAGGAAAAACTGTTAACACAGCTGATCTGGCCAAAGGTTTGCTCCCAGATGAGAGAAGGCTAAGGAGGGTTGTTTTTCATGCCAAATTTTGGGAAATTCCTTCTCACAACGGTATGCAGGTCCTCCTGGACTTACCACCATTTGTTTAGTGACAATGGCTCTAAAAAAAGGACTTAGGACCATTTTTCACACTTACGACCGTCATGGCATCCCCATGGTCACATGATCAAAATCCAGATGTTTGGCAACTGACTCAGATTTATGACAGTGGCGGTGTCCCAGAGTCACGTGATCCCCTTTTGTGATCTTTTGCAAAGTTAGCCAGCCAGATTCACTTAACAACTGTGTTACTAACTTAGAAACTGCGGTGATCTACTTAACGACGGTGGCAAGGAAGGTCATAAAATGGGGCGCTTCACTTAGCGATAGAAATCTGGGGCCCAATTGCAGTTGTGAGCCGAGAACTATCTGTATATTCCAGTTGTACAACAGCGGTCCCCCACCTTTCCAGTTCTGTGGACCAGCGGGGATGGCGACAGCAGCGGGGGGGGGGAGAGAGTCCGTGTAAGTGGCAGGTGTGCGCACGCTCACGTGCAAAACTCCATTTACTCCATTTGTGTAAATGGAGTTTCGCATGTTTCGCCCGTCACTTGCACGGCCCGGTTCCCAATGGGCAAAGAGGCCGATACTGGTCAAGGGCCCGGGGCTTGGGGACCCCTGGCTAACAAGATGGATGTCGGCTTTATTTGCATCTCCTTTGCTGCCCCCCACAAAGGCAGTTGCAGCAGATGTCCCACCCTACTGGGCTCCATCAAGTGGCATCGTGTGTTTAACCAAAATGTTTATGCTCCCGAAGGGACCTTCTTTCACAAAGCAGCAATTGCTGTGCCAAGGACAATTAAACCCTAATTAATGTTACCGTCAAGTGAAGAAGGTTAGCGAGAGCTTGGGGGAGTCTATAAAAATTGAAATGACTCGAAGACATCTGGAAGGCTGGCAAAGATAGGTTGGCCAGGCGAGCAAAGTTAAGACCGCTCGGAGAAAAAGGTCAGACTTCCGCCAAAGTTGATCCTTGAAGGCTGCAGTCCCGCAATTCGTTCTAGTCTGGCCAGGTTTGGGAAGTCTTGCAGCTGGCAATAACTGCGGAGTGATTTATTTACTTAGCGCACGATAAGAACATGACAAAGAGAACTAAACATAGCCACACAATCTACATAAGTACAGACAGTTGTCGGCTTCTGTTTACCTAACTGGCAGATGCCACTGCAATGCACGTAGTCCTTGACATACAACCACAATCAAGCCCACAGTTTGTTAAGTTGTTAAGTGAATTTTGCCCCATTTTGCAACTATTCTATTCTATTCTATTCTATTCTATTCTATTCTATTCTATTCTATTCTATTCTATTCTACAATCTATTCTATTCTGCAATTTATTCTATTCTATTCTACAGTCTATTCTACTCTATTCTACAATCTATTCTATTCTGCAATTTATTCTATTCTATTCTACAGTCTATTCTATTCTATTCTATTCTATTCTATTCTACAATTTATTCTATTCTATTCTACAGTCTATTCTGTTCTGTTCTATTCTACAATCTATTATATTCTGCAATTTATTCTATTTTATTCTACAGTCTATTCTATTCTATTCTATTCTATTCTATTCTATTCCATTCCATTCCATTCCACTCCACTCTTTATTCCACAGATGTCTGTAGTTCCAGCTAAGTCCACCCTGCATCCCAGAACAGCCGGTGAAGACCCGCTACTCACTGACTGTCCCAGACATTACCCTGTCCCTGCAAGGCACAGACCTGTGATGGTGACGGAAGCGTGGGTCAACTGTTGAAGCAAAGGATTCTTGATCAGGCAACTGTAGGTGCTGTTAGGTTCAAGCATCACCTGGAGGGTACTCTGGACCTCAAAGAGGCCCTGCTTATTGGCCACCTGGGAGGTGGTGATATTCTCAGTGATGTTGTTGCCGTGGCTATCTTGCCAGAGCACAATAGCTTCAGGGTACCCCGAAAAGCTGTGGCATCTCACTTTGACCAGGTCACCCGGCTTCAGGTTCTTGCTGGGTTCCAAATTTATGTTCGGCTTGGAGTAGACAGCTAAAACAGAAGAATGGATCAGGGATGGTTCATGACCAAACCCACCGCAATACAGGAGGCCCTCAATCTGCAGGCCTTTAATTAGCAACTGTCTGAAGCTACAATGGAAAAAAATGAGTTACAATTGGTCCTCGCACATCACTTACCTAACAATCACTTGGCCTGACTCTCAGCAACCTAGCAAACTTTGCCTAATGACCGTTAGGGACTCAGATTCAGAGAGATTTCCACTGTCTGTTTCTTTGGCAGTTTGCCTTAAATCCTCAAACAAGAGTTCTCTTTAGCAAGATTTATGAAACAAGCGGGTGGGGACTTTTAGAAGAATTCCAGCAACTGAACAACTTCCTATTTGGAATCAACACCGGTTGCCTTTGACCTATGACTGTCCCTTAGTGACTGTTCAAACTCACAACAGATCTCCCTGGGAGCCCTCACAACCATTTCCAAAGTTCTGACAGCCACCCCTCGCTCCCAGACATGCGCAAACACTTGACACTTGCAGCTGTTTTCATCCCCTGCAATCCTGTGACTGCATTTCACAATGTTTTTGCCCCAAATTGGCTTTTATGTCTGATTTTTGACAAAACTGACCCACAACAAACAACGGTTTGGCTTAACCACCAGGGCCTTCAGTTAACAATATCGCCACAAGATCAGGTCGGTCATGGGAATAACCCGTTTTAAGATCTCACAACTTACGTTGCAGGGATCCCCAATGGCGCAGGGGTTAGGATGCAGTCCTGCAGGCTAACTCTGCCTACTGCCAGCAGTTCGATCCTGACTGGCTCAAGGTTGACTCGGCCTTTTGTCCTTCCGAGCTCGGTAAAATGAGGACCCAGGTTGTTGGGGGCAATAGGCTGACTTTGTAAAGCGCTTAGAAAGGGCCGTAAAGCGTTGTGAAGCAGTATATAAGTCTTAAGTGCTATTGATATCGCTGTTATGACCTTAATGGGCAGGTTCCATTAAGGCCATAAGTCAAGGACTACCGATATATTCTCAGTCTGGCAGAACAAAGATTTTCTGATCTTCTTTCCAACAGCATCTCTCTGGTCTGGTGAGGAAGGCAGTCTCCTCACTGGCAGCAGAGAAGCTTGCAGTTGACTTTCTACACAGCGGTCCCTTAAAACATCAGCACAGGTGGTCCTCGGCTTACGACCACGATTGAGCCCAAAATTTATGTTGCTAAGTGAGACCCTTAAGTGAGTTTTGCCCCATTTTACGCATTTTTCTTGTTGTTAAACGAATCACTGCAGTTGTTAAGTTGTTAACCCGGTTGTTAAGCGAATCTGGCTTCCTCACTAACTTTGCTGGTCAGAAGGTCGCAAAAAGAGACCTGCGGCCATCATAAACACAAGCCAGTTGCCAGGTGTCCCAATTTTGATCCCGTGACCAGGGGGACGCTGCAAGGGTCACAAGTGTGAAGAACGGTCATTAAGTCACTTTTTTTTCCAGTGCCGTTGTAACTTCGAGCGGCCACTAAAACAAACGGTTGTAAGTTGAGGACGAGAACCAACCTGACCCCTCACCTTGCTTGAATCTCACCTGCCATTTGCAGAGTAACAGCTGCCCGGCTGAAGTCCCGCACTTTGACGAAGCAGGTGAAGCTCCCTTCGTCGGAGATCTGTACTCGGCGCAGCAGCAGGGACATGTTGCCGTGGGCCAGCTGGTCATAGAAGAGGGCGGTGCGGTTGGCGTAAGTGCTGCCCTGGTACGCCGGCTGCTCCTGACCATCCGTGAAGCCGTGCACCAGCTGGTTGGTGTCTGTCACCTGCCAGAAAAGGCTGAGGTCGTTCAGGCTGAAATTGGCCTCTGGCGAGAAGGAACAGGGGAGAATAGCGTCATGGCCCACGAGGGCCACCACGGGGTCTTCAGAGACCTTGATTTCCACGGCTCCTGAAGGGAAGAGGACACAACACAACACAAAGCAAAGACTTCATTGCCGGGTGAAAGGCAGAAACTAGAGGCAAGCTTTGGGGACGAAGCCTCGTTCTCTGGCGTTCCCTTGGCCATCTGCAGTCTCCATTGAGAACAAGAGTACTTAGACTTATATACTGCTTCACCGTGCTTTTACAACCCTCTCTAAGTGGTTTACAGAGCATATTTGCCTCCAACAATCTGAGTCCTCATTTTACCCACCTCAGAAGGATGGAAGGCTGAGTCAACCTTGAGCCGGTCAGGATTGAACTGCTGGCAGGGGGCAGAGTCAGCCTGCAATGCTGCGTTCTAACCACTCCGCCACCACAGTTCTTAATAGCAAAAGCACTCAGACTTATATACCGCTTCACAGTGCTTTACAGCCCTCTCTAGGCAGTTTACAGAGTTGGCCTATTGCCCCCAACAATCTGGGTCCTCATTTTATCAACCTTGGAAGGATGGAAGGCTGAGTCAACCTTAAGCCAGTCAGGATCAAATTGCTGACAGCTGCCAGTCAGCAGAAGTAGCCTACAGTGCTGCATTCTAACCACTGTGCCACCACGGCTCATCTGAGCTTCTGGTGCAAGCTAGGTGTATCCCATCACCCATGGTGCACCACAAACTAAAAATCCACCTTTTGCGCTCCTGCTCAGCTAAGGTTGGCTGGTTCATGCAAAATGCTCAGGTACCCCCTATTTCCTGTCATTTACAGCTCATGCCCAGCTAGACACTGTGGTTTGTGAACCCTTGTTTACAATGTAGTGTGCTGTACAAACCAAACCCATTGTGGCTTGCTCAACAAAGCGTGTTTAAGACACACCTGACTTTCTGCTTTGGGGCATCCAGCCTTGAAGTGTAGACCTTCTTCTGGAGGGACCATGGTTCTGTTCAGAATGGACTTTTGACACCAAAATCCCCAATAAGAGATAGCCTGAAGTCTAGAGGAATTGTGCCCACATATGAACAAGGTAGAGCAGCCAAACAGAAAATGATGATTAAAAAAAAATTAAAAAATCACACAACCGCCCAGAAGCTCAGATGTTCACCTCTAGATGTCAGTCTAGCTTCATCGCAACAGCTTTATGCCTCATCGTAGCTCTGGATGCATTTTGGGAGAAGCAGGCAGAGCTGACTCCAAGGGTTAGCACTCCAGAGAACTAAAAGACACTGTGATCTTTCATTCATGCATAGATGTGCTTTGCTGAGAACAAAGAACCAGCCAGACGTTTGATATGGAACCGTCACTGGAGCAGGTGAAGCATCCAAGAAGACTAGAAGACCACTTTTGGGAGTGGAGAGGAAATGTGTTCACTATCACGGGTAGTCCTCAACTTATGACCACAATTGGGGCCAGAATTTCCGTTGCTAAGTAAGGTGGCTGTTAAGTGAGCATCCTACACACCATATCTAAAAATGTCATTGAAGGCACCTTAAAAAAAATCCTGCTATAAGTAGCTCTCCTAGTTTCTATGTGGACCTTTTACGGAAGGATTGTTGAAGATGTTTGCTCTTCACTTTCCCTTTCTCAAGATCCTTGTTTAGCTTTCGGTTCTAGCCTATAGAACCTTTTTTATGACCTTTTTGATACATTTGTCACAGCAGTTGCTAACTGAGTCCTTTTACTCTCTGGAAAACTGGGGAGGGTCCTTTCTGAAACATTTCCCCTGCTCTCCCACTTTCTCTGAGTAGGGATACACGCAGGTTGTCTCTCCTTTTTCTCTTCCCAGATCATTCCCACAGACCACTACACTTTAACAGTGAGGGGTCCTGGGCTCTCTCTGAGTTTGTTTGTTTTCTTGCAGATGCTTCATTACCCAACTAGGTAACATCATCAATGCTGGAAGAGAGTGGAGGAGGAGGAGGAGGAGGAGGAGGAGGTGGTGGTGGTGGTGGTTTTTGAGCTTGGTAGTTTTCTTGCAGATGTTTCATTACCCAACTAGGTAACATCATCAGTGCTAGAAGGGAGGGGGGTTTGCAGAGTGGAGGAGGAGGAGGCAGAAGACTATGGGGTCCTGGGTGCTCTCTGAGCTTGGTTGTTTTCTTGCAGATGCTTCATTACCCAACTAGATAACATCACCAGTGCATCAGAACACCGAGCTACAAATATTCGCCTTTATTGGTATCATCCAACAATTCCAGAAATATAAGGAGATCTACGTCATCCTTAACCAAATCAAACTTGGAACCGGGAAGGGAAAAATTAAGACGGCAAGTCCATGATGCTCCTCTTACTTACCTAGCCAGGTGGGCAGGAGAGAGCCCAGAAGCAGCAACTGGACACAGAGTTTCCTTGCAACGGAAGAATTCTGGGAGCCAGGAGACCCGCCAGTGTTGGGGCACATGGTCAAGAGAAACAGTGATCCTCTTCCTGAAGGGAAACCAAACAGGGTAAGTAAGACATGTGCAAAACCCCAGGTTTATTCTCCATGTTACAACGCTACAAACTGCGGACAATGCAAACTATGTTTTTATTTGGTTAGTACTTAGATAGGGTGATAGCCAGGAAATTCTAGGGCCGTAGGCTAGAACCGAAAGCTAAACAAGGATCTTGGGAAAGAGAAAGAGAAGAGCAAACATCATCAACAATCCTTCCATGAAAGGTCCACATAGAAACCAGGAGAGCTACTTGTAGCAGGATTTGTTAAGGTGCCTTCAATGACATTTTTAGATATGGTGTAGGGCAGTGGTCTTCAAACTTGGCAACTTTAAGACTGGTGGACTTCAATTCCCAGAATTCCTCAGCCAGCCCTGGCTGGATGAGGAATTCTGGGAGTTGAAGTCCACTAGTCTTAAAGTTGCCAAGTTTGAAGACCCCTGGTGTAGGGTGCTTTTGCCTTGACTTGCCAAATGATGCACATCATTGCCATCTCTGGGTAATCCTCTTTCTTTGTCTCTCTTAGTTTCCATTAGTTTAGTTTATTAGTTTAGTTTATTAGTTTAGTGTAGGAGAAGGACTGGGTAAACCTGTGGTTGGAGTCAAAAGAGGAATCAACCCAGAGTCTCTACATAGCTACAAAGTCCAACCCCTCTTGAATTCTATTGACCCTTATCTAATGCCACGGTAGTGTTAACCGTTGAATAGATAAATGTCAGGTGTGAAAGATCAGGACCATACGTGAAAGTCCAAATAAACTGATTGATTACATGAGTAGATTCTTCTTCGCACAAGAATCTACTCAACTAATGGTTAGCACTATCTTGGCATTAGATAAGGGTCAAGAGGGGTTGGGTTTTCTTTGTGACTATGTAGAGGCTCTAGGCTGATTCCTCTTTTGACCCCAACCACAGGCTCAGCCAGTCCTTCTACATTTACAAAGAAACTCCTTCCCTGGGGATTCATCCATCTGGGTGATCAGAGAGATGTTTGAAGGCTAGAAACAGACATCAGCACACCAGCAATTCCAGCAATGGTGTTTTCTGCTACCTTCAACAATCAAGTCAGCTCAAGAACATCCTAACAAATTCTCGTGGACCTCCCAAGAATAAGATAGACAAAACCTTTTTCAAGGAGGGGAGAATTTTAGAAAAATGACTGTCTGACACAACACTAAGGTGGGTTTCAATCTTCTAACTGAAATTCACTTCTGCCCAAGAAAATCCATCAGCTCTTCTGCAAAATCCAGATAGTTATATCCGTTTGTTTTTCTTCTTCTGCCTTATCTCCACCCATTCTTGGCCCTGTAATTATGATTGTGACAAGTCTATTTATTCAACGTCATCAGGACTTCTCTATTGATGAGGTCTTCCATGCTTATATTTTTAGCCTCCTTCTACTTTCTCTTTCCCTACCAACAGAACCCTGTAATTGTCAAGGCTATTTTTTTTTCCTGCCAGAAAAGTGTGCCAGCTGCATTACATGGCAGAAAATACAAGCGTGCAAGATAATGCACAATGCCAAATTCTCTTAGAAGGAGCCACGGATTGGGGAAAGATACACGCAAGCTTGAATTACATAATATTCTCCCCCCCCTCTGGAATTGTGCTTGGATGGTCGTCTTAAAGTGTAATGTCCCAATTAAATACATAATATAATTTCTGTATCTCAACTGGGACAGCAGATTTTGAAACGCTTGATTCCATCTTTTGATTCATCTTTCCTGTTGCGATTGAGCAAACAACCTATCTCTGGGCCAGCCTTGGCAAGCCCAGCTGTCTTATGCAGTCCTCAAAACATGCAAAGAGCTATCACAAAAGAACAGCCAGGACTTTCCCTATTAGTCAGGCCCCTTCTTTGCAGAAGTGAAATTGTCAAAGCTTGGTCAATCGGCTTCAAAAACCAGGAGGATGATTTCTGTTGAAAAAGGGATTTTGTGCACCAGTCTTTCCCAACTGGCCTTCAAGTAAGTTAGAATTACAATTTTTCAGGATCGATGGCCAGCAGTGAGGGCTGAAAAGATTGGAATATGTAACCCCAAGAGATCTGGAGAACGTTATGTTGGTCTGTGTCAGTGGTTCTCAACCTTTTTAATGCCGTGACCCCCAACCGGTCGTAAGTCGAGGACTACTCAACCGGTCGTAAGTCGAGGACTACTCAACTGGTGCAGCACCGTTTGCAGAATGGGACTTTTGGCGGGCTCAGCAGGGCAGAGACAGCCTGGATAATTCCTATTGGCTTTTGAAAGCCAATAGAATTAGACTCTATTCAAGAGAGTCTATTCTATTGGCTTTCAAAAGCCAGTAGAATAAAAGGGAGTAGCACAGCTAAGGAAAAGGGGGAAAAAAATGGCGGACTGCGTTGTTTGGCGACCCCCGTGAAATGGTCGTTCGGCCCCAAATGGGGTCCCGACCCACAGGTTGAGAACCACTGCTCTATGTGTTCCCATTGAATTTGTCACTGGAAGTTCCTTCTCAAAAAGGTATAAATGATTAGAGGACCGGAAGCTAAAACATATAAAGAACAGTTGCAGGAATTGGGTATTTCTAATTTAAAGAAGAGAAGGACTAGGGATGGCACAATAGCAGTCTTCCAATATCTAAGGGGCTGCCAAAAAGAAGAGGGGTCAACCTATTCTTCAAAGCAGGGGTCCCCAACCCCTGGTCCGTGGACTGGTACCAGTCCATGGCATGCCAGCAACTGGTTTGCACAAACAAGCAAAGCCCCATCCACGAGATGCAGGTAGCACCCAAAACCACACACTCTCTGGTCCATGGAAAAACCTCTCTCCACGGAACCGGTCTCTGGTGCCCAAAAGGTTGGGGACCCCTGCTCCAAAGCGCCTGAAGGCAGGACAAGAAGCACCAGATGGAAACTAATCAAGGAGAGAAGCAACCTAGAACTAAGGAGAAACTTCCTAACAGTGAGAACAATTAACCAGTGGAACAACTTGCCTCCAGAAGTTGTGGGTGCTCCAACACTGAAGGTTTTAAAGAAGAGATTGGGCAGCCATTTGTCCGAAATGGTACTATAGAGTCTCCTGCTTAAGCAGGTGGTTAGACTAGAAGACCTTCAATGTCCCTTCCAACTCTGCTATTCTGTTAAATTACACTAACAAATCAGTAGGGCTACGGCCGTGATGCCGAACCTTTTAGAGGCCGAGTGCCCAAACTGCAACCCAAAACCCACTTATGCATCGTCGGGTGCCGGGTGTGGCTCATTGAGTGGGCGTGGCCCATTGGGTGGGTGTGGCCCATTGGATGGGTGTGGCTGCAGTGGTAACGGCAGACTGGGTGGGACTAAAAAGTTCAATCAATCAATTCCAACTTTGCAAGATCTTTTTTTTCTCCGCGAGAAGTTGAAATTGACTGATTGATTGAACCTTTTTTTTTTTTGCACACGGCGGCAGAGGCCTAAAGCGAAAAGGTTTTATAAAACCCAGCTGAAGGCCTAGGACTGGGGCGACGGCGTGCGTGCCCACAGAGGGAGCTCTGAGTGCCACCTCTGGCACCCGTGCCATGGGTTCGCCACCACTGGGCTAGGGAAACTGCCCAACCCTCTTCCACCAGAGAAAAGGGTGGTTTCTCTTTGGCTTGATCATTCTTTCCCCTTGACCTAATGACATCCTGTTGGTCTCTGGAAAGAAGATGGTGTAAACTGAGAACCACAATCCAATCAGTCCTAATGCACAGCCATCTAGCCAACCTTGCATAATGGAGCTATCCCGCCAAAGGAAACAGATGGCCAGCTGTGCCACAACAGAGGCATCCTATTCCGAAGGGGGGGGGGGTGATCAGGAAGTGAGGAATGATACACGCAAGTGAGGAATGATACACACAAAGAGACAGACGCCCTTTGGAACTGGCATCCCCAGCAAAGGCTGGGAGATGCTTCAGTCCAGATGTCACAAAGTCAAATTGGGTTGGTTCTCCAACTGAGCCCAAGAAACGGCTTTTGCACTCTTGTGCGGCCAGACCTGAGGAGCAGTTGATAGGGAGCCCACAATCTGCTTTGCTTTGCCAACTTCACCACATCCACCCCATGTGGTGGTCATTTGTCTGGCTCCAAGCCCAGCTGGCCAGATGGAAGTTCCCTGGTGTAGCCACGGCTTCAGATTTCTAAACTAACATTAGATTCTGGAGGTCCAACTTTCTGAAAGGTTTGGGCAAGCAGGAAGATCAGAGAAGTAAGAGGAGGGGGAACAGAACAGAATGTGTATTTTGGGGGATTCCCAAAGCCAATTTTGAACACACTTACACACACAAACACACACACACAAACAGGAATTCCAGTCTACAGTATAGCTAAGGTCACAGTCACCATGCAAATGAAAAGTTTGCTGAACTTCTCTGCTGAATACATTGCAGTGGGTTTTTATCCCACTATCTGTCTGTCTGTCTGTCTGTCTGTCTGTCTATCCATCCATCCATTCATCCATCCATCTAATAGATAGATTCTATCTATCTATCTATCTATCTATCTATCTATCTATCTATCTATCTATCTATCATCTATCTATCTATCCATCCATCCATCCATCTGATAGATTCTATCTATCTATCTTTCTATCTATCTATCTATATCTATCTATCTATCTATCATCTATCTATCTATCCATCTATCCATCCATCTGATAGATTCTATCTATCTTGCTATCTATCTAACTGTCCATCTATCTATCTATCCATCCATCCATCCATCCATCCATCCATCTATCTATCTACCCATCCATCCATCCATCTATCTGATAGATAGATTCTATCTATCTATCTTTCTATCTGTCTGTCTGTCTGTCTGTCTGTCTGTCCGTCCGTCCATCCATCCATCCATCTATCTGATAGATAGAATCTATCTATCTATCTATCTATCTATCTATCTATCTATCTATCTATCTATCTATCTATCTATCTATCTATCTATCTATCTATCTATCTATCTACCCATCCACCCATCTATTCATCCATCCGGCTTCTGAACTATCCTACCATCGCCAC